AATTATTCTCGTGGATGCACTAGAGACTTGGAGACTTCGTTTAAGGTCCGATTGGAGACTTAGTTGAAGGTCCAAGATCTCGTGCATTTTTCTTGCCTTTATTTGTTGGATTCATTCTAGGGTAAAGGTAGGAGCTTTCATGAGTAAAACATGCATTCATCCTCGTAGGCTAGGTATTATGTGATTTTGTTGTTGATTGCGTGAGCGAGAATTGATGGATAGCTCGATTAATTGGTTCGCGATTGCTTGATTGCATGTTCCCGAACCTATGAGTGCATTCTTTCTATCTCGGGTCTTAGGCACCCTTTTATTTTTGTCTCTATTTTCCTTTTTTCTTGTCATTTGAGGACTTGCTTGCTTTAAAAATTGAATCTTGCTCTCGTTCTAGTTCAAAGTTGTGATCATTAGAATAATCCAAACCACAAATTGCGAGTAGAATGTTTAGGATCTTTATTTATTTATTTTTTTTTGTGTGTGAGTCAATCGTTGCTTGAATTCGTGGCTGAACAACCTTCCTTTAAGAATAAACCGAGTTGGATACTCGATTATCAACAATCCTCAAAAATACTACAAACAAATTGCGGAAGCAAAAAATCTTCAAAATGAACATTCAGGAAAGCGTCTCACTCTCCCTTATATTCTTATTTCTTTCACTAAGCATCCTTCTCAGTCGAACCCAACCATATATATACATATGTATAATATTTTGTGTAATTTTGCATTAAATACTTTTAGTTACTAAAAAATTTTACTTTTTTCCTTCAGTAATGTATAATTTTTGAAAATCTTCAAGAGTTTTAAATATTAATGTAGCTTTTTCATTATCCATTAATTAAATATCTTTGTAACTATAGAAACAACATCTTCATAATAATTTATCAGTTTCTTAAAAGAATAGAAAAAATATTTTTTTATAATTATAATGATTATTGCAAGATTACTTATATAGAAATAACAATATATAAAATAAATATTATAGACATTTTTCTACGGTTATATAATTTTATTGAATTTTTTAATTTATAGAATGATAATATAATTTATTAATTATTTTATTAGTTATACCACTATCATATTACGATATTTAATAAATAACATAATACAAAAATATTAATTAATATGTTAAATATTTTTGCTATGTACTAACTCATGCTGGTTTCGCGTCATTCTATCCATCGCATAATCAATCAGTTAATTTTAAATTTTAAAAAAATTATTATATTTATTATTTTATAAAGATGCATAAAGTAAGAAATATTTAATTTGTATTTAGTTATATAATTTACTAGTACAACACCCATGAATTTAATTTTAATTTAATGTAATTTCATTTTATATTAAATAAATATTTAGTATATAAATAAATATATTAAATAATATAATATTATATATATATTAAATATTTGATATATTTAATAAGCAAATGGATTAAATAATATTATTATAAGTTTCTTTATTTAATTTGATGATTTTTATCTAATTTACACCACTTTTAATTATAAAACTTATACATAATTAATTTATTAAATATGTATTAATTATAATATAAAAATCAGTAAACTAAATAAATAATATGCATTAAGTTTTTCTTACTATTTTATTTTACCTTATCTTATTTATTTGGAACACATTTACCGTATTTTATTTTATTTATTATTTAAATATAATTAATATAATTTCATTATTTTTATTTTTTTTATTCACTTTTATTATTGCAATTATATTTATAATTTGATATATATGTTATTACGAAACTAAAATAAATATAATTAAGAAATAAAATATTTTATTTTACTTTATTTTATAAATTATATATTTTATTTAAATATAGTTTATTGTATTATTTATTACTTACTATATTTATTATATAAATAATAAATAATAAAATACATAATAAAAGGATTAATATGAATTCAATAAAAGATATAATTAAAATTCAATATATTTAGTCATCTAGTAAATACTTATTTAATATTTAAATAAAATTTATAAATTAAATAAGGTAAATTAGTGTAAATAACATAAATGATAGTAAAAGTTTAATAATATAAGGTAATTAATAATATAATATTACTTATATATTTATTTAGTTTACAAATTTTAATTTTGTAATTAATACATATTTAATAAATAAATTATTTATATGTTTTATAATTAAAAGTGACATAAATTGAGTTATCATTTTTTTTTTGGATAAAACAACGTTAATACAGATNAGGTTTTTTTTTTTTTTTCTTTTTTTTTTCAAACAACACCCTAGAAGGGTGGGATTAAGACCGAACCTCAACCTATATATAAGAATGCCCGAAATGAGCTGAAATTTTTTGCTCCATAAGTTTTGATAAGGATTTTGTCCTTTTAAGCTAATCTATACCTATAGGCTATAGCGAATTTTGCAAGCGACAATATATATCACAGCAACCTCATAAGTTATGAGGAAGTAATGTATATGCTTTTTTAATAGTTCAAGTTTTCGTGCAGTTAAATAAATTTTCCGAAGCACGTGCTTAACAAATTTGCAATTATTTTTTGGAGTAGGCTAAAAAACCTTCAATCTTAGATAATACAAGTCTAGAATACAACTGTACAAGTCAACCAAAAAAAAATGAAAATTAAAAAAAATTACTTAAAAACTTAAAATATAATTGGTATGAGATGTTTTATTGTTATCTCATTCGAATATTGAAATTCAATGAATATTGTTATTTTTTTTAATTTATATATATACATATATATATATATATTATTATATTTACTAGTTCGATAGTATTACCAATCAATAACAGCACGTACCAATGATTAAATACATAACTACAAATACGATATTTAAAACACTCAGATTAAAATTACAAATAGCTTTTGAAGTACATTAGACAAATTGATCAATTACAGGATATTTATTCAGTAGAGAAACAATGTCTAAATGACATTAGTAACTTCACATGATAGATTTTCCCTTTTTAATTTCTTGGTAATTAGCCAGTCTCAAGAATATCATCTCTCATGTATAGCAATTCCCTTCCCTTTTGTTGTATATAATTTCAGAATGCGCTGAGCCTATGTAGCAAACTCCCATGCTTCAAAATCCTATTTGGTAAAAATTAATGCTTTGGAGTTAGGCTTGGATATAAATTAATATTTGTAATTATTGTACTTTAATATCATTTCCTATTATAATCATTGAATTGTAAATATATTTTAAAGTTGATAACTTTTGTATTTCTTATCGGTTTTACATATATAATATATCAAATTAATCATCTCTTGAGGAACTTCGATTTGACATCCATATTATATATATAAAATAAATAAATTATATTTATCTTTATAAAAATAAAAAAATTATTTATTAAAATTAATTCAAAAATAAAATTATTTATCAATTAATATATTTATGTTTAATGCAGTTATATGTTATAAGGTAGAAAATTTATTATAAGATAACACATATAAGTCGCACAATTAACATGTGTAATACTAAAATATATAATAATATATGATATAAGTAAAAAAAATTTAACACGGGTTGACATTTTCATTTAATGTACTGATGTTTAATTATTGTGATTAAAAAAATATAATTTAAAAATTTAATTAAAACTCAAAGTAAGGTTTTATATAAAATTAATTATTTTAATTTAAAAAAAAAAAATTAATATTTTTTACAAAAACTTTCTAATTCAACACCCGTATAATACACGGGTATTGTACTAGTGCCTCTATTATATCCAATGGACATGACTTATTATGTCTATTGTGAATATGTGAGCATTTTCTTTCATGTTGAATACAAGACAACCCAAATTTATTAGGAGTAGATGCACATTTTCGTTAGGTAGAATATGGATTTGGACCGAGCATACTTAATTCTCAACCCAACCCATTTACATCTCTATCTATACAATAATTCTCAAAGTCGTCCCAACTAGGGTTGTAAACGAATCGAATCAAAGCGAATACTCAGAGATTCGATTCGGATTCGTTAAAATATTCGAAGATTCGAATTCGTATTCGATTCGTTAACGAACTCATTTTTTTTATTCGTATTCGATTCGTTTAGAATATTCGAACATATTCGATTCGATTCGAAATTCGTTTTCAAAAAAAAAAATATAATTAAAAAATAATAATTACAAAAAATAATTTTTATTTTTCATATATTTTTAGAAAATATTGTTAATTTATGATGATTTTACTTTTTATGTCATAAAAATAGTAGGAATATAACTATATATATATATATATATATTATAAACAAAATGTATACTATATATAATTTATAAAATTTGTATAATTATTGTTAACGAATCGAATATTCGAATTTCGAATCGAATATCTACAAATTCGAATTCGGATTCGTTTAACTTTCGAATATAAAACATTATTCGTATTCGAATTCGAATTCGAATCACGAATATCGAATTCGAATATCGAATCGAATTAAAAAAATTTGATTTGTTTACAAGCCTAGTCCCAACCATAATATTAATACATATGCATACATATATCTCTCGTGATTCTAACAACTCACTAACAATTTATCAAGTAGTACTCAACAAACTTTGTCTTGTCTTCTCTTTTCTTCTTTCTTATTCTTTCCGGCAGATTATTAAAAAAGATACAGCCGTTGGGAAATAATGCGCACTATGAAACTGCAAGTTCGAGATCGCCATGTATGAAATCAAATATATATGTATATGCACATATAGAAAAAAAAAATATATATATTATAGAGAGAAAGTTTTATTTCAATTTTTATTTTTTCTTGCAGCTTGTCCTCTTTCATGCATTCAATCACTTTTATTTTATTTTATTTTTTATTTGGATTTATAGACTATGTAATGTAAAGAATTGTGATTATTAAAATTTGACTTAATAAACTCTGCT